GCCCCATATAGGGGTTTAGGGTTTAGGGGCACAGACGTGAGAGCGATGACCCTAAACCCTAAACCCCAAAAACCCCTAAACCCTAAACCCCTAAACCCTAAACCCTAAACCGCAGGCAGCTGCATCCTCGACCAATCCGGGCATGGCCCACCACAGCAGCCGCGACTTCCACCAGTGGACGAGGCGGGGCCTCGATGTTTCGCTTGAGAAAGTAAGGTTTAGGGTTTAGGGTTTAGGGTTTAGGGTTTAGGGTTTAGAGCTTAGGGCTCAGGTTACTAACTGGAACAGGGTTTCTGGGCCCCCTTTATGGTAAAAGGCCGGGGCCTTAAGTGTCAGAACAGAGTTTTTGGGGCCCCTCGGTCGTATAACTACTATAAGGAAGCCTAATGAATAACGTTGGTAATTACTTTGGATTCTATATTATTACCCTAAACCCTAAACCCTAAACCCTAAACCCTAAACCACTTTGGATTCTATATTAGGGGCTTAGGCTTTGGGCTTTTAAGCTTCGGGGTTGGTTTGTGGCCCCATAAGGGGCTCAAGGACCTTTAGGTTCGTAGGACTTGTAGTTTAGGGGTTTAGGGTTTAGGGTTTAGGGTTTAGGGTTTAGGGTTTAGGGTTTAGGGTTTCGAATCTTTCGAATTGAGGTTGTAGGCTGAGTGACTGGGTAAGGGCCCGAACAGCCCAGGTCTTGGCAACATCTAAAGGCGTAGTGAGCAGCCAGCCTGACGAACCCTTGGATCTCCGAGAGCTTGAGGAAAGAACCTCATCCAAAAGCCAGGGATTCTAAAACTCTACTAAAGCCTAAACCCTAAATCCTAATCCCCAGACCCTAAACCCTGAATGACAAAGCATACACCCTAGCAAGCCTAAAGACCTAAACTCAGCGGGCTGGTGCACAGAGCCGTCCTTCGACCGGAAAACCTAAACTCCAAGCCTGGAAACCATAAACCCTAAAGCCTGAAGCCTCCGCTCGAGTCCTGGGACCAAACATCTCGGAAGGGTCGTGGAGGTCGCACTACAAACTTGCACGGAGTGATTGGGGTTTCTCGGCGATGTTTATGCTTTCGTGCGGACGGGTTGGAGCTGAAAGATTGTATGGGTGCGGATCACACCACCCTCCCCCCCCAGCCCTAAACCCTAAACCCTAAACCCTAAACCTGGGTGTCTGGCCACAGCCCTGCGAACCTGAGGCGCAATGTGAGCAGCAGAGACTCAGGGTCCCAGTCAGCAGGCTCTACGTGGGTAGTTCGCTAAATTAGGGCGCTCAGGTCCCCAAAATAGTACGGCACCTGTATCAAAAGGACCCTAAAAGGGACCCTTATTTGGAGAGCTACCCAAATGGGTCATTATGAGCGAACCCGAATTAGGCCACTCTTAGCTCCTCAAACAATCGCTGCACAAGGTCACATCATCCTTCAAGCATCAAGAAGCGGGCAACCCGCTACACGTTTTCGGGCTTCTCAGAAAGCTGGAGGTGGAAACGACAAAATATCTCCAGGAAAATACTTAAAGCCGACTTAAACCGAAACCTTAGTTCTAAGAGCTTTACAAGGGAGCTTCCCCCGAGATCCGGCTCTCATAAGCTTCCTTATCTGGCATGGAGTGCGACTTAGATGCCCGATGCCGTCGAATGGATCCGCGAGTCTTAGGGGTTTAAGAGTTTAGGGTTAAGGTTTAGGGTTTAGGGTTGGGGATTTAGGGCTTAGCATTCAGGGTTTAGGGGTTTCAAAGTTTAGGCTTCAAGGTTTAGCTGTCGTATCACGGTGCCAAAAAGCCATCCAATGACTGAAGTCGTGCAACCGGCTCTCGGAAAACAAATAATCACAAAAATGGCCCTTCGGCCCCTTTAGAAGACCCCTCAAATCCCCCAAAACCGTGCACCGCGGAAGACCCCGAGCCCCAAGCCCTAGTCCCAAAGCCCCAAACCCGGGGCCTGCACTCTACACGTGCAAAACCCAGAACCTACGGAACGTACGCAAAGCCCGATGAATCGTCTAATACCTTGCAAGGCGCGCTTGTAAATTAAACCCTAACACCCTCAACCGCTAACCCCTGAACCCCTGAACCCCTATACCCGATCCCCCACACGCTAAACCCCTAAACTCTAAACCCTAAACCTTAAACCCTAAACCCTAAACCCTAACCCCTAAACCCCTAAACCCCTAAACCCTAAACTCTGAACCCAGCTCAGCTCAGGGGCTCATCTGAGGCCTCCGAAGAGCCCTCCGAGCAGGCACCGAAGTGTGCCTGCTGGCGGAAGGCGTCCCGGAGCCTCGTGCTGGGTAGTTTAGGGTTTAGGGTTTAAGGTTTAGGGTTTAGGTTTTAGGGTTTAGGGTTTAGGGCTTAGGTTTTAGGGTTTAGGGTTTAGGGCTTAGGGTTTCGGGTTTAGGGTTTAGGGGGTAGTGACCGGTAACCCAGTTTTTTCGGGTGGTAAAGGGGTAGGGTGGTATAAAGGTAGGGGTGGTATAACGGTAGCGTGGTATGAGGGTTCAGGGTTTAGGGGTTGAGGGCTTTAGGGCGATGAAGTTTTCCAATTCATGCGATATTTTCTTGGCTTGAAAACTGAAACGGGCGGTTTATTTCACAAAGAGAGAGTTATAAGGCCTATGATAAGGTACCTTCGGCTTTGGGTACTGGCTTTGGAATTGGCTCGTCAAGGCCTCTTCTCATAGTATTTACGGATCTACCGCAAAGATCATGGTCATGGGTCTCAAGGAGTTGGCTGCTTAACAGGTACACGTTAATCAGCTCCACAAAATGCACCCCGTATCAATCGGCTGTGTCAACCTTAAGGGATCTATAAGGGTAAGGGTTCCTTGAGGGATCTATAAGGGTTCCTTTAAGGGCCTGACTTCGTCAAAAAGACGCACCTTGCGAAAGATTGAGGAAAAGGGTTCTGGTGGACTCGCCGCTTTGAAGCTTGGCTCGATAGCAGAACGGCAAAACCATCTTCATGTAGGGGCATTAATAGTTAGAATAGGGCTTTGGGCCCCATTAATTATACCCTAATTCTAACAAGGAACTCCCCAAAATAGTATAGGTAACTATTAAGGCCCCTATCTGGCCTTCAGATCCGAATCAACCGGTATGGAAATCGACAACTCATTTGGGTAGTTCTCTATATTAGGGTCCCTTTCAGGGTCCTTTGAATAAGGGTGCCGTACTATATATATATATATATATATCTCTCTCTCTCTCTCTCTTGATTGATTGACTGGTTGATTGATTGGGGACGTGAAAAGGGGCACGAATTTGGAGAACTACCCGTTTCGCTTTCCCAAGACTACGGCCGAACAAGCATTCATCTACATGTACTTGCGACGTATCGAACATAGTGGCATCACTTCAGAGTGAATGCAAGGTCATCAGTGCAGACGAAGATACGTGTGGTCTTGACTGGTTGCGACCACGCACGGCCTGGCCAATGCAACCCCCTACACGTGTTCCTGAGATTGAAAGCCTCAAGGACAAACGCTCTGCAAGAGCCTTATGCGACAAAACCCTGTACGACCCATGCTTTCGGTGTTGGAACCTGCGCCTACCGGTAGATGCCCTGTAAAGCACGTTGCCGACAATCAGCACAAAATGCTCAACTCAACATTTGGCTGGCCGTTACCACGGAGAGTAGATCCTGATCTTTCACCTCTAAACTACATCCGGATCGGGAGGTTGTCTTGCCCAGGGAATCACGACCAAATCCCCCACAGGCCGATACCTTGTCCGTGTTTCTGTAACAAGTTTCTGCCCGGGTCGGGTACATGCCACATCCTGCCAAGGACGCCGGGACGAGACCCGAAGGAACGGGCTCTTCTAAGTCGACTTTTCATATCTCCGAGCCAACGGTGGCTGTTCTTGACAAGGCCACTCTGCGTCCCGGAATAAAGGTATAGTATAATATACCCTTTTCTATACATAGCTATACTGCAATCTACTCTTTTCCTTACATGGCTATACTATAACCTACCCCCTAGACCAGTTTTAATTTTGCAGGTCGACACCCAAACCCAAAACCCTAAGCCCCCGAGACCCTTTTTGCAGGTCGAACACTATAATAGGGAAACCCCCAAAATAGTATAGGCAATTGCTAAGGCCCCTATATAACACCCCCATCCCTAAACCCTAAACCCTAAACCCTAAACCCTAAACCCCTACACCCGAACCCCCCACGACCATCTTTGCAGGTCAAATCTTCGACGCCAGCGCCTCCCGGCGCTCCGCGCCGCTGCGTCGAAGGCCGCGTCGAAGGCGGCGGAGGCCGGAAGCGAGTCGACGGGAAGCTGGAGCCTGGGCTTAAGATAGGGGCCTTAATATTTAGGGTTGAGGGTTTAGGGTTTAGGGTGTAGGGTTTAGGGTCTAGAATAGGAGTTTTTGGGGGCCCATGAGCCTGGGCTTAAGATAGGAGCCTTAGTTAATTAGAATAGGGTTTGTTGGGGGGGTTCCTTTAAAGGGTTCCATAAGGGCTACTATAAGGGTTTGGGGTTTTAGGGATCCGGGCTTCGGGTTTTAATAAAAGTATGGTGTATAGGGATAGTTGATGGTTTAGGGCTCCTTTAGGGTTCTTTAGGTTTAGGGAGCATGGTATAGGGTTCGGGGCTTAGGGCTTTAAGAAAGGGGCCTTCATAATTAGAATAGGATTTTGGGGCCCATTGTACTATAAATATTTGGGGCCCTCAAACGTGTTTATGAATAGATACCTCGGTAAGGACCATAAGTGAAATTTTTGAAGTTTCCCAAAGTGCCACCTACTAGAATGATGTTAAGGAGCCATGAGGGATAGTATTACTAACTAGTTACTGCGGCTTCCACGTAACTCTAATCCTGTACACCCCCAGGGCTTTTCATTCAAGGAGCAGGTGTCTCACCTTCTCCGAGCCATCGCCAAGGCGTGGGCGCCAGGCACGGGGGATCAATTCCTGCTGCGTGGAGCGAGCAGGCAGGGTGAGGGGTTGAGGAGGTAATTCCCGTTTCGGCAGTCCAGAAAACTTTCAGACTAACACAAGCTACTGCCTGAACCCTGCACACTGAGATAGGAACACAATTTCCAGCACAATTACTTCCTAAAAGCCCATGTGGCCTTATAAAATCGCGAATGTGGACTTTAGAGGCCTTCTTCAGAAAGTGTTTTCTGCTGCTACAGGGTTTTGGGGTCCTTTGTAAGTTAAGGAATGAAGCCGGTAAGTCTTTCGGCTTCAATATTATTACAAGGCTTTGTGGGGCTGTACAGGAATGCATAATATAGAAGCCTAAACAATTGCCAATATTATGCCTTAGGAGCTCCTTATTGTAATAATACTATAAAGGGGCCCAACTCCCGATTCTAATTATTAAGGCCCCTACATTGTACAGGATGTCCCAGCTCGTCCAGCTTGGTGTTGAGGCTCTTTTCACGAAATCAGCGTAAGTCCACATTGCATTGGGCGCTCCGGGCGCTTATGTCCAGCTTAGGAAGGCCCGCACGCAGCCCAGGTATGTATAAGCACACTAACATACAGGAGCTCGTTTCTATTTATGCTGTCATATCTCTGGGCTATGACAGGCTATGAATACCCTGAATCTCTGGCGGGTGCGTGGGCCAGGGTGGGGAAGGCTTCTACAGTATGGGTGCGCAGCTAGCTCATCAGATGCCTGATGTTGGTAAGGAATTGCTTATCCCGGCGTCCATCTGGCGGCTTTTTCGTTACGGTTACATGGCTTCATGCCTGCTAGCATTGCTAGGATCGACACCATGCTCACCATTGCCATGGTTACTAACCTCCTTCGTTTAGTGTATTACTCGTCTAACAGATGAATCCAAAACCTGAACCTCGTAAAGGGACTTCCTAAACCCTAAACTCCAAACCCTATGCCCTAGTCAGCATACGTTGTGAAATGCAAATGGCGGTCAATCCCTACATGATAATGCTAGAAAATCTATCCCAAAACCTTATTCTAATGATTCACGCCCGGTTTAGGGTTTAGGGTTTAGGGTTTAGGGTTTAGTAAACCCTAAACCCTAAACCCTAAACCCTAAACCCTAAGCCCTAAAGCCAGGGCGCAGGGTGCTTCGCTGCGAAGTTGACGATCACGGCCAGTATCAAACATAGCGTCGTGGGCCATTCCCACATGGGGGCTGGCTCTAAAGGGCGCTCCGGGTATCTCAAGTGCCTGACTTATCACCGGATCCCTCCCCTCTAAATGAAACCCTTAACCAAATGCTAAACCCCACCTCTGACCCCAACAGATGAAGAGGCTCTAACAAGTCAAGTCGGTTCAAAAAGCTAATGCTCCTGGGCTGTTCTGCAGCCCCCGTCATCATCAAGCTGGCTGGTGCAGGGCGTGCGGGCATTTCCTTACGCGGCAGATCTCTGACTGGGTCTACTGCAGCAGATGTTCATCGCATCTGCGGAAGGCAAAGGCAAGGGTGGTGAGGGCGGGCACCGAATCTTCATGCCTCAAAGCTTTAAGACGGTGTGGATAGAGCTGTAAACATCAACAGAACTGCCATCCTCACCATCATAGCCGTCAGTGTCATCATCAGCATCAAAGCATCAGCATCATGTCCATCTGGGGCTGTTTAGGGTTTAGGGTTTAGGGTTTAGGGGTTTAGGGTTTAGGGTTTAGGGTTTGGGTAAAAGCCTAGTTCTTGGCATGCCGGGCAAGCGGCTCTTCACTCAACGGAGAATTGTGGCCATCCAACGCATGCACCGAAGATCTGTAGACGTCAGGAGAAATTAACAATGTAAGGGCATTTAACAACTTACATAGGGTTTTGAGGGATAGTACAACGAAAAAGCTTGCGGAACCCTTTTGAGAACAACATTGGCAACTACTCTAAACCCTACACCCTGAAACTTAAGCCTTAAAAAAATAATATTGGCAGTTACCCAAAACCCTAAATCCTGAACCCTGAGCCCTGTTCAGCCTTCTAAATTCGATAGTAGCAAGCCCGGTCTTGGTCCTCGCAGTTTTTTCTTCTCACGCCAAGGCCTGTCTGCTTTGCGTCAACTCAGTACTTGTCGACACTCCTGGGGTTTAGGGTGTGTGGCGCTTTGGGTTGAAATTTTAGGGATTTGGGGATTTAGGAATTTAGGGATTTAGGGATTTAGGGATTTGGGGATTTAGTGATTTAGGGATTTAGGGATTTGGGGA